CAGGTGAATTCCAGGGGACCCAGCCCTTGCCTGCACCAGGAGAGTAAGTGGTTTATTAATAGGGTAACTTATGCAGGTGACTGTGCGCTGGGACGGATCAGCATCTATCGTGGCTTCCCTGTAAGGCAGAAGGGCTGAGGCCATGGAGAGCTGGGCTGGCTCTTTTGCGTCTCCTGATTTCACGATGTCTGTTGTGTGCTTAGGCCCGTCCTCTCCGGGGTCCCAGCCGTCCTCGCCCTGTTCCCTGTGAAGAGTGAAGAACCAAGGTGGGGCGGGGAGGGGGCTGGTGTGGGGGGGGCCGGACTGGGGAGAGAGCCTGTGGGGAGCGGTCGGTGGGGAGGGGGCCGGTGGGGAGGGGGCCGGTGGGGAGGGGGCTGGTGAAGCAGCATCAGGTGCTGGCCTGGCCACGGCAAGTCAAGTCGAACTGATCCAGGGCCTGCCTTCTGTGGCTTCATGAGGTTCACAATTAGCGGAGGGCGCTGGCGGTGGAGGAGGGCATTAGCCATGCCTGCTCTCGGGCTCTGCCTGCCAGAGTGCCCTCATGTGGCATGAAATTAAGGCTCAGCCTTTCCTAACAGTAGATTTTCCATTTTTCTTCTCCTTCCTCCTCTCTTGGCAACAAAGTCCTTCGCTGGGCAGGGGCTGGACAGCGGGGTCTCCACTCTGATCCGCTTCCTGCCTCCCTCTCATGCCCTGGAAACCCCGGCCCATGACTCTTTTCCTGAGGGGGCCTCCTGCAGCCTCTCCCCAGTGGGGGCTTTGCTCTGGGCAACCCCTTCCCCCCGGGGCGGGTGGGGCGGCGGCTGGGACTCGGGAAGATGGCGGTCCAGTGGGGCTCTCTCCTTGGGTGTGTGGGAGCCGAGTCCCCTCGCTCCTCTGGGACGGAACACTCTGCTGAGCTCCCCAAACTGTTCCCATGTCGAGTTCTGGGGGAGGGAGTCTGTTCAGAGAGGGTGCAGTCCTTCCTTTTAGAAGGAGCGCCTGCCTTTTAAAGCAGCTCAGCTCTTACAAAACACAGGTGGCTTGAGCAGAAAAGCTGCTCCAGCTGGGAGGCGCAGGAGGCTGAGCGGGGCCCGCCCTGCAGGCTCGAGGCCACAGCTGGTGCCATTTCCCATGATGGCTCCGAATGCACCCGAGTCCCCCGGGCCTCTGCATCTCTGCGTGTGGGTCCCCTGGGCCTCTGCGTCTCTGTGTGCAGGTTCAAGTTTGCCAATGTCCATGCACGTCTCAGCCTCTTAGCCTGGACTGGACAACTGGGCTTTGGGAATTCATTTAAATTCTACCCCCTACACGCCTTCCCTGGATTCAGGGCGGTGTCCCGGGCATTCATCACGCGTGTACTGCCATGAAGGTGTGGGGTTCCCCCCAAAGGCTTCCTTCCCTGTCCTGTGTTCTGCCCGCTTCCCAATTTTCCTTCAGTGCTGCTGGTGGCGTGCCCTTTCTCTCACGGCGCAGTCACCAGCAGGACGTATGTGCACTCACGCTTTGGGAAACACGGCCTGTAGCAGGAGCAACTCGCGGGGTTCAGCATTGGGGGTGGCAGAGCCCAGTGCCTGCTGGGGCATCACCGGGCATCGTGGAGCTGGACCTGGAGCCAGGGGTCCCAGCTACTGCCGCTCAAGGACCCTGTGGCTCAGGAAAGCCCTCCTGTTGCTAACGTGTCACCCGAAGGGCTTGGGGACCTCCACACAGGATGGGCTTCTAAAGTCAGCTCAGGCAGTGCCCTGGCCTCAGGTGTGCAGGGAGACCACTGGCCTCCCTCGTGCCAGCTCTGTGCTGTCTCGTGGGCCCCTGGCAGCCCTTCTAGAATGTTCTGGCGTGGCTCCCTGCTCATGTTCCTAAAGCTTAACCATCAGCCCATCCTCAGTAACACCGTCTCCAGGACCATAACCAACTTGCAGTAGTAAGAGTCAGTGCTGGGACTAGAGGCACCGGCAACGTGGCCAGTGCTGCAGCCAGAGGCGGGCAGGGCTGACCTGTCCAGGGGCCAGCAGGGCTCGGGCAGAAGGTGACCCTGAGTGGAGGGGAGACGGGGTGTGGGAGCCTGGGGCTGGGAGGGGAGGGAGGATGCCACTGTGGATGAGGTTGGTTCCCAGCCCCAGAAGCCAGGCCTGGGTCCCTCCAGCTCCACCTGGGCTGGTGGTGCCCCACCCTGAGCCTCTGCTCTCTGGTCCTTAGGGTGGGGATGCAGTTCATGCCCCGTGGGCTGGGTGGAAGAATAAATCCCCCACCTAGTGGGCACGTGCAGCGGGAGCCCAGAGTGCTGGAAGTTTCCTTGTGTGGCTGTTGCTGACTCTGGGGAGGGACAGGGCTGTTGGAGCGGGGCCACCTGGCTTGGCCTGCTGCCCTTGGCAGCAGGAATACAGCTGCCCTGGGGGCTCCTCTGCTACATGGGCACTCAGGGGTGCTGGTCGTTGGGTCCAGGCAGGGTGCGGGCAAGAGTCACTGAGGGGCCCTGGGTTTGCATCTTAGGTGATGCTGCAGACATGAGTGGCCGGGGCGTCCAGAGCTTCCCTGAATAACTGGGCTGTGAAGATGAAGACGTCAGGGCTGCAACCTCCTGGGCCTACCCCGGCCAAGTTTTCAGGACGCCCTTTGCTTCTCTTTCAGGGAAGGAGCAGCTCTACTCCCTCTGACGGGGCTGGCTGGGAGGGTTGGATTTGTTGTTTGTAGGGAAAGACTGGGACGGAGAGTAGGGTGCTGTGGCCCCTCTCGTCCCTTTCTGGTTCCTGAGGCTGTCTGCACAGAGCAGGTGGGCACACGCTGGCTGGATTTCATCTGGATCAGGGGAGGGTGAGAGGATGATCTCCTGGTGGGCAGTGCAGAGCCTCCGCTCTGGAGTGTGGAGAAGGATCCACACTTCACTGACCACTGGTGTGTGGTCAGAAGTGGGGACCTCACGGCCTCAGATCTGGCTTCTGATCCCAGCTCTGGTTCCCTTGGAGCCACCCTTCCCTCACCCATCAGGAGCCAGTAGCAGCCCCGGCACAGCTGCCGTGGGATAAACAAAAGAAGCCGCCCTCAGGAGCTGCCTGCCGAGTGTCCGTGGAACGTGGCGTCTCCCCAGCGCTCAGCGGGTCCTGATGGGCCTCCTTTCCGCCGCCCTCCTCAGAGCGTGGGGAGCTCCACCCCTGACTCGGGGTCCTGGGATATTCAGTTTTGTATGTGATCGGGGAGGCAGCACCTGACCCACAGAAAGCGCCTGCTACTGGTGGGGTCTCAGATCTGTGCACACCTGTGTCCTAGGCTCCTCACCGTCCAGGTGGCCGCACTGTCCCTGTGCTGCTGGACTTGGGGGCTTGGGTGCACCCAGCCTTCTGCTCCTCAGCCTCCCCGGCGTGGGGGGAGTGTCCATCTGCGTGGCAGGGGCAAGGCTGTCTTCAGCGGGGCGACCTGGAGGCCACGCGGTCCGCTCAGAAGTACCTGCATGCGGTTTGATGCCCTGCTGCAGCAATCTTGAAATTCTTAGTCATTTTATCTTTGAGTGCTCGCTGTGTAAGTGCAATCTAAGGATGGTGGCATGAGCATGATGGAGGCTGGAGAAGGTCAATGTGCGAGTCGACTGCAGAGCCAGTGGTTCGAGAGGCCACGGCTTTCCCTTGGCTCAGAGCTGGTCCCAAATGCAGAAAGGAGGTGGCGTTGCTCTCAGATCCACACACAACCAAGGACACATCCCAGTCTCCCGGGGACTCCTATGTGAGCTGGCCACCTGCACTGCAGATGAGGATGTAGAAGGAGAGAGAAAGACAGGAGACCGTGGCTCTTGCCTTCAGTCCTTCGTACCCAACAGCAACCAAGAGGGCATCCCGGCAGGGTGTGAATGGCCAGCTGGACCGCCGAGGCTGCGTGGCGTTTCCACCGTGCTGCAGGAACAAGATGCACATGGCGCAGGAGCCGCAGAGCACACGTGTGGAGGTTTCGATGGTTCTGCACTGAAGTTAACATGTGCATGTGCGCCTTTACTTATATTTGCATTACTTAGAATGACATTCAGTAGCAAATGAAAGACAGCCGGCAAGTCAAAAGAGAGAGAATGCAGAAGGAAGAAGGCTTTGTTCGTGCCTCTGAGGGCGCTTTCCCTCTTGCATTTGCATTTTGCACTGTGCAGATTTGCACCATGCAGCCACCCTGGCCTCCTTGGGTCTGGGGCTCCTTTTCCAGCACCCCCACCCAGCGGCTGTGGGCCCCTCCCCCACGTGCCTCCCCCACTTTGATGGTGACAGTTGGGTGTGGAGGAACAAGCGTCAGCGATGGGTGAACTAGCTGTGTTTCACGTGGCCTCCTCACCACTCTGCCAAGCTCCTGGGGCAGGCACATTTCGGCTGCCATCGACTCTAGAATGTTCTCTGGTGTCTCCAGGGGGCTGTGCAGAGCTGGTCCCTCCCAGCGAGGAGCTCTGCTCACGGGTTCACCCCCCCTGCCATGTTCTCTAACAGGAATGTCTAATGAGAGACAGCCCCAGAGAAGAACCAGCCGCTGGGGGTGGGGAAGGTGTTGGTCTTTCTTGAAACAAAGGAGGCCCGAGCCTGGGGTCATGGGGCTGCGGGTGGGGGTGGGATGGAAGGGGGTGGGCAGTGACCTGAGACCAAGAAGGGAGGTGGAGGTCTCAGGTCGCGGGTGATGGAGGATGGAGGAACAGGCCCAGAAGGTCCTGCTGGCTGGGGCTTCTTTCCTTTTGTGTGGTCACCCTGTGGGGGCTCTCACCCTGTGGGGGCTCTCAAGCTCACGGAGTTTGGCTGTAGGGAAGTGCAGGGGTGGCCTGGGAGGCTGCAGGCTCTGGGACAGCCTGGCTAACACAGAGGATGGGAGGAGAGGAGACCCCGGGGCGGGGCGGGCGCTGCCTGCCTCATCTGTGCTGGACTTAATTGGAGGTGGCTTTGACTCCTGGTCTCCAGGGGCCAGCAGAGGGGCTGAGGACCCTGGGAATGGTTCTGTCTTCAGCCATCTCATTTGTCCAGAGTCTCCAGCTGTAAGGAGCAGCCACTCACTCCGACACCCGATGGGGAAATACTGCATTATTATTATGAAGTGTTTAATAATCACAGCACGGTCATTGTAGGCCGCAGGGCAGAAAGTGCTAATATAGTTTAAAAGCAGTACCTTTGAATCTGGACACTGGCAAGAAAATAAGCAAAATAAATACTTTTGTCCACCCCTCCCTACCCTCTTTTGGTGACTTGGGGTGGCCTGGGTCAGTGCTCAGCCCAGTGTCCTGCAGCCAGAGCCAACCACGGCACACCTGGTCTCCTCCAGATAAATGCACGGCCCATGTCTCTGCTGGCCTTTGGAATCAGCTCAATACTCGTTCAGACACAGAGTGCGTGTGCCCTGCTAGGACAGACGTCATTGTTGTGCGGTGCTTGAGTGGCACCAATAAGCCACAGAAGAGAAATATGGAAACACGGGACGCATCATGTCATTCCATGCCACGGCGTCAGGAGCGGTGTGTAGCATCTTTTGGTTTGAGAGTAAAATTCCACAATCAGAAATGATATCTGAGCAAAGAAGCAAAACGCACAGAGGCTGGAGACGCTAAAGCATCCAGTCCCAGGCAGGACCCCACCAGGTGGGCAGGCGGAGGCCTGTGCGTGGGCAGATGGTGTGCCCGTGAGCAGCACACGCATGCAGGGCCACGGGTCAGCCACGAGCAGGACACGCATGCAGGGCCACGGGTCAGCCACGAGCAGGACACGCATGCAGGGCCACGGGTCAGCCACGAGCAGGACACGCATGCAGGGTCACGGGTCAGCCACGAGCAGGACACGCATGCAGGGCCACGGGTCAGCCACGAGCAGGACACGCATGCAGGGTCACGGGTCAGCCACGAGCAGGACATGCACACCCACTTGTGTACATGGGCAGGTGTGCTGGACCCATGTGTGTCGTGGCGTCAGCCCATCCTTGTCCCTGGGGAAAGGGCTGTTGGCCATCGTGACAAGGAGCCTCTCAGCTTTGACCAGGCCCCAGAAGCCTTGTGTCTTCTGGCCGCCTCTCCTGGCCACCAGCCAGGTCCACGGTTGCATCTGCTGTGCCATCTTGTGGACAAATGGACGATCCAATCCAGACGGCATTGCAGAGACTGACCAGGGCTCTAAACCCCGGCCGGAGCTGCCCTCAGGCCGCCCTCCTCACCTTGAGCCATTAGCCTGCTCTGCCACCTGTGTCAGGCCTGGGTGCCGTGCAGAGGCCTCCTTCCAGACCTCTGCAAATTGGCCCCGTGTTCACGGGCGTCCAGCGGGATCCACCACGGAAAGACAGCTTTCTCAGAGGCATCTCAGCGCGTGGGCCCAGCCAGAACCTCGAGGGCTTCTGTCCCTGGAGGGCAGGGTAGAACGGGAGGACACAGGGACACAGAGAAGGTGGCAGCTGACTGAGGGCAGGACAGAGCAGGAGGACACAGGGACACAGAGAAGGTGGCAGCTGGCTTGGCGAGAGCAGAAGGTGCAGCTTTCTTTGGCCCCCCACCCTTTGCAGCTCACCCTTCTCCCTCTATGGCCCCCTTAGCCCCAAACCCCCTCGGCCGTCTTTCTGAGTAAAGGACAGGCCAGAGCCAAGCGGGTGTGTCCCCTGCCAGGGTCTCCCGCACGCCTGGGTCTTCTGGGCTGGGGAGTAGCAGAAGGATCTGCAGGGCTCTCGAAGTCATCTGGGAGGAGCGTCAATGATGAGAGGAAGGAACAAGGGGTTCGGCTGGGATTGTCCGATTCCCTGGGTCATCTCAGAACCATGAGCTCATCTTCCTGGGTTACAGTGTCCTGAGCTTGGTCGAAAAGGGACGAACCAAGGGCCGGTTGTGATGACCCCGCATAGGTTTGACAGCCCCGTGTCCTTCTAAATCAAGTGTGGGTCTGGGTCCCTGGCCCCCTCCAGCCCAGGGTCCAAGCCTCCCTCAGGCAGAGTCAGCCCCTCGCTCCAGTGCCGTCAGCTGTAATCTATGCGGGTAAAACGCCAGGAGAGGCTGGATCCCCAGCTCACCGGCCGGTGGCTTGGGCCTCCTGCACTTGCAGAGGGAGGGCGGAGGGTGGTAACCAGGAGGAGGGGCTGTGAGCCGGGGAGGGAACTTGGCCAGAGGGGGACGAAGGCCATGGGGAGCACCGCGGGAGCCCCGCTGTCTGCGCAGGGTTCGGCCTTCCGGCCTCGGTGTGGGAAATCTCTCCATCTGTTCAGGTTTTCTTTGGGTCTTTTTACCAACCATGTTTTGCAGTTTGCAGTGTACCAGTCTCACACTTCCCTTGTGAAATTATTCCTAAGTAGCTTATTCTTTCTGATGATGCTATTTGACCGGGACACTTTCTGCATTTCATCTTGGGGTGTTCCCTGTCAGTGCAGAAATACCGCCCCTCTGTGTTTGATCCTACACCCCATGGCCTTGTTAAACTCCTTCGTTCATCTTATCAGGTTTTACTTCGTTTCATTTTATCTTTGTGGATTCCTCAGACGAGTCCACCTACTGTGTGAGGCGTAGTTGTACGTCTTTTTTGCTAATCCCGGTGATTTGAGGTCCGTGTTATTGCCTTACTGCCCCGGCTGGAACTCGCCGTGCAGTGTGGGAGGAGCGGGAGGGAGGGGAGGGTCCCCTTGGTTTGCTCCCTGCGGTGGGAGAGACGGTCAGGCTTTCCCCAGGAAATGTGCCATAGGTTTCCATAGATTCCCTTACTAGGTCAAGGAGGTTCACTCTCATTTCTGGTTTGTTGAAAGTTTTTTTTTTTTAAATTACAAATTGGTATTAGATTTTGTCAAATGGATTTTCTGTATCAATTGGGATGGTTATGTGGCTTTTGTCCTTTATTTTATTAATATGATTTATTACATTAATTGAGTTCTGGCTGTTAAACCAATCTTTCAGTCCTGGGAAATATCCCACTTTCTCATAGTGTACAGTATTATCTTGTATTATCTTTTTAAAATAAACTGTTGGATTTGGCCAGGCACAGTGGCTCATGCCTGCAATCCCAGCACTTTGGGAGGCCGAGGTGGGAGGATGGCTTGAGCCCAGGAGGTCCAGGCTGCAGTGAGCCGAGATTGCCATTGCCTGGGTGACAGAGTGAGACCCTGTCTCAAAATAGATAAATAAATAGTTGAATTTGATTTGCTAAGTTAAAAAGATTAAGTAAGTGTCCAGTTCAGCAGCATTAATTACATTCACAATGTTGTGTCATAGTCACCACTAGCTACATCCCCAACTCATCACTCCAAACAGAAACTCTGTCTTCATGAATAATAACTCCCCATTCCCCTCCCACCCCCAGCCTCCCTTAACCTCAAATCTACTTTTTGTGTTTGTGAATTTGGCTCGTCCAGATATTTGATGCAAATAGAATTATACAACATTTTTCCTTTTGTTTCTGGCTTACGTCACTCAGCACAGGGCTTCCAAGGTCACTCAGCACAGGGCTTCCAAGGTCACTCAGCACAGGGCTTCCAAGGTCACTCAGCAGAGGGCTTCCAAGGTCACTCAGCACAGGGCTTCCAAGGTCACTCAGCACAGGGCTTCCAAGGTTCACAGACAGGCTTCCAAGGTTCCGCAGCACAGGGTTCCAAGGGTCACTCAGCTAGGGTTTCCAAGGTCATCTGCAGCGTAGGATTTCCAAGGTCACGCAGCACAGGGCTTCCAAGGTCACTCAGCACAGGGCTTCGGGGGGGACTCAGCGTAGGCCTTCCAAGGTTATTTACCTGGTAGGGGGGGTCAGACTTCCTTCATTTTTCTGGCTGAATTGTATTCGGGGGGGTGGATGGACTACATTTTGTCCTCCATTCATCTGTTGGGGGGGGCTGTGCTGTTTCCACCTTTCAACCATTGTGAATAACACTGCTGTGGGAGCATAAGTGTCTGTTTGGGTGCTTGTCTTCAGGGGGGGGGACATACCCTTGGGAGCGGAATTGCTGGATCGTAAGGTAATTCTGTGTTCCACTTTTTGAGGAGCTGCCAAATTGTCTGGGGGGGCAGCTGCTCCATTTTACATTCCCACCATCAATTCCAGGGGGGGCACATCCTCTCCATGGCTTGTTATTTTATTTTTATTGGGGGGGTTTTTTGAGACAGGGTCTCATTCTGTCGCCCAGGCTGGGGGGGCGTGGTCCGATCTCGGCTCACTGCAACCTCTGCCTCGGGGGGGCAAGTGATTCTCCTGCTTTAGCCTCTAGAGTAGCTGGGGGGGGAGACGCATGCCACCACACCCAGCTAATTTTTTGTTTGGGGGGGAGCGGCCGTCCTGTCGCATGTGACGTAGTGTCTCTGTGTTTTGATTCACATTTCCCTAGTGACCAGAGAGGGCTGTTGAGGGGGGGTTCGTGTGCTTATTGGCCATTTTATATCTTATTTGGGGGGGGGTGTATTTGAGTACTTTGCCTATTTTTAAATGGAATTTTTTTGTTGTTGAATTGTAGCAGTTCTTTATATATCCTGAATATTAAAACTCTTATCAGATATATGATTTGCAAATATTTTCTCCCGGGGGGGGGTTGACGTTTCACTCTCTTGATAGTGTCCTTTGATGCATAATAGTTTTTAATTTTGATGAACTCCAATTTATCTGTTTGGGGGGGAAAAAAATTTATTTTTTGAGACAGAGTCTCGACCTGGGGGGGGGGCTGGAGTGCAGGGGTGCAATCCTGGCTCACTACAGGGGGGGCCTCCGGGTTCAAGTGATTCTCCTGCCTCAGCCTCCGGGGGGGCTGGGATTACAGGTGCCCACTATCATGCCTGGCTAAGGGGGGGATTTTTAGTGGAGACAGGGTTTTACCACATTGGCCAGGGGGGGCTTGAACGCCTGATCTCAGGCGATCCTCCTGCCTCGGCCTCCCAAAGTGCTGGGATTACAGGCGTGAGCCACCACGCTTGGCCCTGTCTCTTTTCTTTTGTTGCCTATGCTTTCTGTGCCATTTACCATTGCCATGTCAAAAGTCTTGATAATTTGTCCCTATGTTTTCTTCTGAGAGTTTTATACTTTTAGCTCTTACATTTAGGTCTTTGATCCATTTTGTGTTAATTTTTGTATATGTTGTAAGATAAATGTCCAACTTCATTGTTTTGCATGTGTAAATACCTTTTTCCCAGCATTGTTTGTTGAAGAGGCTGCCCTTTCCCCACTGGTATTGGGGGGGGATTGAAAGTCAATGGACCATGTATATGGGGGTTCATATAGGGGTCCATCTGGGGGTTCTCTGTTCTACTCCATTGGCCTCTATGTCCATCCTCTTGCCAGCAGCACATTATCTTGATGACTGTAGCTTTATGAGTAAGTTTTGAAATCAGAAAGTGTGAGTTCTCGGGGGGGGTTCTTCGTTTTCATGATTGTTTGGGCTATTTAGGGGGGGGGGAGTTCTATATGAATTTTAGGATGAAGGTTCAATTTCTACAAAAATTGCTGTTGGGATTTTGAGAAGGATGACATTGAATCTGTGGATTGTTTTGAGTAGTACTGTCATCTTAACAACAGTAAGTCCTCCAGTCTGTGAACATGGATGATTTTCCATTTATTTGTGTCTTCTTAATTTCTATCATCAATGTCTTGTAGTTTTCAGCACAGGGGGGGTTTTCCTCCTTGGTTAAATTTATTCCTAAGCATCTGGGGGGGGTCAATGCTATCGTAAGTGGGCTTCTTTTGTTTTCAGGGGGGGGATTGCTAGCGTCCAGCTGATTTCTGAGTAATGATTTGGGGGGGTGAATCTTTGCTGAGTTCACTTATTAGGTTTAACAGGGGGGGGTTTGTTTGTTTGTTTGTTTGTTTGTTTTGAGACGGAGGGGGGGTCTGTGGCCCAGGCTGGAGTGCAGTGGCACGATCTCGGGGGGGTGCAAGCTCCGCCTCCCAGGTTTACGCCATTCTCCTGGGGGGGCCTCCTGAGTAGCTGGGACTACAGGCACCTGCCACAGGGGGGGCTAGTTTTTTGTATTTTTTAGTAGAGACGGGGTTTCACCGTGTTAGCCAGGATGGTTTCGATCTCCTGACCTCGTGATCCACCCGTCTCGGCCTCCCAAAGTGCTGGGATTACAGGTGTGAGGGGGGGGGCCCGGTCTAACAGTTTTTTATTTTTTTATTTTTTTGGGGGGGCTCTGTGCTTTTCTACGTGGTGTGTATCATCTGCAAGGGGGGGCCATGTTAGTTCTTCCTTTCCAACTTGGATGCCTTTGGGGGGGTTTTCTTGCCTAATTGCTCTGGCTAAAACTTCCAGTGGGGGGGTGAATAGAAGTGGTAAAAGCAGGCATCCTTGTCTTTTTCCTGATCCTGGGGAGACGCTTTCAGTCTTGTGCCATTGACCGTAATGTCAGTTGTGGGTTTTTCATAGATGACTTGATTTACTAAATTTTACTAAGGATATTTTGGTTTATGTTCATGAGGGATAATGGGGGGGAGTCTGTTCATGTCTTTGTCTGGCTTTGATACCAGAGGGGGGGTGATTTCATAGAATGAATTGGAAAGTGTTTCCTCATGGGGGGGCTTCTGAAGATTTTGTGTGAGATTGCCGTTATTTCTTCTGAAAATATTTGATGGAGTTTACCAGCGAAGCCAGTGCTGCTTGGGCTTTAATTTCTTTACTTGTTATGGGTGTCTTCAGGTTTGGGGGGGTTTCCTGACTCATTTTGGTAATTTGTGTCTTTCTAGGAATTTCTCAACTTCATCTAAGTTGTCAAATGGTTGGCATAAAGGGGGGGATAATACTCCTTTATAATTCTTTTAATTTCTATAGGGGGGGGGGCAGTGTTCTCTCTTTTATTTCTGATTTTAGTAATTGGGGGGGTCTCTCTTTTTTATGGGCATTCTTGCTAAACATTTAGGGGGGGTGTTGATTTTTTCAGAAAATCAAGTTTTGATGCCACGGGGGGGCTGTATTGACTTTCTGTTTTCTGTTGCATCACTGTTGGGGGGGGTCTTTTTTGTTCTCTTCCTTCTGCTTGGTTGGGGTGGGGGGGATTCTTCTTTTTCTAGTTTCTTTTGGTGGAAGACTAGGGGGGGGATTATATTATTGATATAATATGATTATGTTATTGACCTTTTTGCCTTTGAAATACAGGTGTTTAAAGTTGTGAATTTCGGGGGGGAGCTGTATCTCATGCGTTCTGGTATGTTGTGGTTTTGGGGGGGTTCAGTTCAAATTGTTTTCTAATTTTAATTTTCTTTGGGGGGGTTTCTTTTTTGACTCATGGGTTATTTAGAAATGTGTGGGGGGGCTTTCAAATATCGACTTATTTCTCCAGTTTATTTTTGGGGGGGATTTTAGTTTTTTGAAATGGAGTCTCACTCTGTTGCCCAGGCTGGAGTGCAGTGGTGTGATCTTGGCTCACTGCAACCTGGGGGGGCCGGGTTCAAGTGATTTTCCTGGCTCAGCCTCCCATGGGGGGGGGATTACAGGCACATGCCATGATGCCCAGCTAATTTGGGGGGGTTTAGTAAAGACAGGGTTTCATCATGTTGACCAGGCGGGGGGGACACTCCTGACCTCAGGTGATCCACATACCTCGGCCGGGGGGGGTGCTAGGATGACAGGCACGAGCCACCGCACCGGGCGGGGGGGGTTCTTGATTTCTAATTTAATTCCGTTGTATTAGAGGGGGGGGCTTGTATGATTTAAATTCTTTTAAACTAGTG